GGCCGTAGTCTTTGATGAAGCGGCGATAGTACCCGGACAGGCCCAAGAAGGCCCWCGATTCTTTCACACATTTGGGTTGCGGCCAGCCCAGTATATTGGAGATTTTATCTGGGTCAGCCGCTACAGTCCCCTTTTCTAGAACATGTCCTAAGTAGTGAACTTGGTTTTGTCCAAAGGAGCACTTGGACTCTTTAGCGAACAGTTGGTGGGCCTCAAGTGTTGCAAGGGTGACCTGTAGATGGTTCAGATGTTCCTCCCAATTGGGGCTATAGACCAATATGTCATCAAAGAAAACAAGGATGAACTTACGTAAATATGGCCGGAATATGTCATTCATCAATCGTTGAAATGTGGCTGGAGCATTGGTCAGCCCAAATGGCATGACCCGGAACTCATAGTGGCCATCATGTGTCCTGAAAGCTGTTTTGTGAACATCCCCCTTATGTACCCTTATTTGATGATACCCAGCTTGTAAATCCAGTTTTGAGAATATGGTGGCTTGACTGAGTTCATCAAGCAGCTCATCAATGACTGGTATCGGAAATAGGTCTTTAATGGTGATGCTGTTAAGGGCTCTGTAATCAATACAGAACTGCCACATCCCATCTTTTTTCTTGACTAATAGTACCGGTGAAGAGAATGGGCTGTGACCGGGTTGTATTATCCCTTGCTTAAGCATATCTTGAACTTGCTTCTCGATTTCAGATTTTTGAAAGTAAGGGTATCGGTAGGGTCTTACATTGGGTGGGGCTGATCCCAGCATGAGGGGGATGTGGTGGTCATGCTCCCGGCATGGTGGCAGTCCTTGGGGTTCTTTAAATACGTTGCCATAGTGCTGAAGGAGTTGTTGTAGGCAGCTTTGGACGTCTCTAGGCCCATCTGGGCTGCTGTTAGCTAAGGATGGCCTAGTCCAATTTGAGTCTATGTGCACGAATATGGGCTGATCTGGGTCTCCTCTTTGCTTTGTCAGTGTTGCAAGACTRATGGGCCTTGGGCCCTTGCATGTCTGCCCTTGTAGATGGACTGTAGAGTTTCCTGATGTGAAGTCCATGGTGAGAC